CATACAGAACCATAACTACATTATTCAGAACCAGAGCATTCAGAACCATAACTACATCATTCAGAACCAGAACATACAGAACCAGAACTACATAATACAGAACCAGCACTACATCATACAGAACCAGAACATAGAGACCAGACTACATAAAACAGAACCAAAACTTCATCATACAGAACCAGAACATACAGAACCAGAACTAAGGTTATCTCTCTGTTCTCTCTCTGTTCTCTCTCTGTTCTCTAAGGTTCTCTCTCTTTTCTCTAAGGTTCCATAGTGTTCTCTAAGGCTCTCTCTCTCTGTTCTCTAAGGTTCTCTCTCTGTTCTCTAAGGTTCTCTTTCTGTTCTCTGATGTTCTCTAAGGTTCTCTGAGGTCCTCTCTCTGTTCTCTCAGGCTCTCTCTCTGTTCTCTAAGGTTCTGTCTCTGTTCTCTAAAGTTCTCTCTCTGTTCTCGGATGTTCTCTAATGGCGCATTTACACTGCAGGCCTCGCTCGGCCTCGCTCGATTTGGTAAGGCCTTATTAGGCCCGGCTCACTTTAATGCTGCGCTCACATTACAGTTTAGGAACTGGGGTAGTATCTATGGTAACGCAGTGTAGGCGGAGCCGTGACGTCATCTTCAATGAGCTCCCCAGAAAAACAACACAGCCGTTAGCTCTTAGCACTTAGAGCTCACAGCTCTTCATATCTGTTCAGAAACTAGACAAAAGTTAAACAAGTACAAACCACAGACTGTCTGTGTCATGGAGAATACAGTCGCTGGTTTATTTATGTCTGTATAGGCCGTTGTTGTGAGTGTGGACGGTCGGAGTATATAACGTTAGCTTAGCCAAGCTCAATTTAGAAAACACGCATTTTAAAAGGTTTTCGCCTGCCGTCTGTCTGCAGACTTGTCAAAGCCTTAATTCATGGTTTTTACTATCCGGTATCAGTATGTTGTTACTTCGGCATCATTTTGAAACGTGTATTACAATTAAATCACGGTCAAATATGTTCATCTTGTTGTAATTGTAGCCCCCTTGACAGCGATTCTCTCTCTAGTTTAGCAAACTCAGCCAGACTCAGCCTGGTTGTTGGCCTCGATAGAACCACGATTTAGTCGGGCCAGAAAAAAGGTGAAAAAGTAGCCCCGGGCCAAAACTAGGCCAAGTGTAAGCGCAACCAAAAACAGGCCCCGCACGGCTCGGCACGAGCTCCGCGCTGCAGTGTGAATGCAAACGTGATCAGCAAACGACGGCTCATCAGAGAATGGGTCACATGAGTGTGGCAAGAGTGAAGCACATGCACAGGCAGGCT